CTTATACGAATCAAATTGTATATGAAACAAAGATTTTATGTTAGTGAATCCAAGCTACTTGTCTAAGTTTTTATGTGAATCTACGTTTTGAAAAGACAGCATGACTTACGTGTACTGAAAATCGATAGATATAAAACAGCAGTATATATTTCGCCGACAGGATGAAGTAGAGTAGGTGATGCGGAGGATGAGAGAAACCGAGGTATAACGTTAGGTAGTTGGCAGTAGGATGGCTTTTGATAGTAGGATGAGAGGCTACCAGATTGTATATATATATATATATATATATATATATATATATATATGTGTAGACTTTCGAATCAAAGGTATTTCCCGAAGTACCGTGACGAGTTGAGCCAGAAAAAAGATACATTTCACGAAATTCGCGTCGTAACAATACAAAATATACGGCTAGAACAAAATTCGATAAAGAATCTTTTGACAATTTTGATAATGAATATTCAAAATTAACAGAATCAAAAAAAAAATTCGCTTTACATTAATACAGAAAAAAATATTAAAACTAAACTCATGCACGTATCAGATGTTTTAGCAGCGTTGAATTTTATCGATAAGGGTTGTGCACGCGGAATATACACGTTTAGGGTAAACAGAAAGTCGAACCAATTCAATCAAACCTTGCGAGCAATAAATCATCTACTCTGCTTGCACGCACACCCTACCATTTGTTTATACTCGTGTACCAATTAGCGATTGCTACATGTTCGACTTTTTTTTGTATGCGAACACGCTTAAAATATCTAAGTTTTTTTTGTATATCCATAATTGAACAATTTAATTATGTAGGTAGCAATAGTGTTATTGTTATTTTCGGCTGGACCCTACATCGAATATTTTAATAGTGCATGAAGAAATATACAGAACAGAATTTTTACTTAAATAAAAACAATTTTCATATTCATACTTTAATTTCTGATCAAATGAAATTCTTTTTCTTAACTTATAAAAATAACGTAGTTGTGTGTAATTAAGAGAATAAGAAAAATTTGGTCTCCAGCGTATTTATATGATAGAATGAGTTTTTTAAATTAAATTTAGTATCATTGGAAAGGTCGAGACCTGAATTAGTGCCTTTTCAATGTTTCATATTATGCTTTTCTAAAATAGTTCATTTATTTATGATAAGTTTTCGAAGTAGTTACAAATAGATTCTAATTTAGCGATAAACAAAATTTGTTTATTTATTTATTTTGTTTTGTACATATCAATGTGGTTGTATGTCAAAAATTAATTATACACGGAGAGAAAAATATGGAAATCATTCCTATAATTTTCATGAAATGTTTTCTTATACCACTTTAGGAGCGATTACTTAAATTATGGGAATTGTACCCATAATTTTTGGGAAATGTTACTATAATTATGGGAATGGTTTCTATAATTACAAGAACGATACCTATAATTATAACTGTAATATCGGCATGATTCCCATAATATATAGGAATGGTTCCTGTATATTTGTGACTTCGATAACCACTTTAAAACATTTGAAATTACTAGTAATTTCGATTATTTTACTTGCTTCCCAATAACATCATTTGAAATATGTAAAATAAGTAATATTGTTCATATAAACAATAAAAATTACATACCCAAGAGTTGGATTTCATAAATATTCAACGTAGGTATTGTAAATAAATAATTTGTTTTTAAAATAAAATCTATTTTGCTCCTCTAATTGTATAGTGAGAAAATACCCCTTTTATTAGAGAAACTAGAATTGCTACAATATTTTTCAATATTATCTAACACAATAATAACTGAGTTGGAATAAACAATTTAAGATTAAGTACACACGTGAATAAAAATTATGAAAAAGAAATTTTTTCACTCTAGTGAAAGATCAATTTTTATTTACAAAAACAAATTTATTAGCAAAAAAATATATAAAAATTACTTTATATTTTTGAAGTGATTGCTTTATTATTATGAATATAAACATTTTTCTATTATTATGTGCGTCAATCCCATAACATTATAGGAACCATTCCTATAATATTATAGGAACCATTCCCATAAAGTTATAGGAACCATACCCATAATATCGCGCTACTGATGCCATAAGGGCGTATCTCGAAAAAAATACCCTTGAAAAGCCATAAGGGCGTATAAAAAATTTTTTCCGGGAATCGACGTAGTTATGCCTGAAACGGGCAGAAATGCAAAGAAAATTTTGGTACGCCCTTATGGCACCCGGGTGATACGCCCTTATAATGGCATTTGTAACGCGATATATTGAAGCTATTCCATTATTGTATAGCAACGTTTCCAATAAACTGTGGGTATGGTCCCCATAATGAGCATAGGATTGATACTTATAATGATCATTTTATTATAGGAACCATTCCCATAATTTTTGGAAAGGTTCCTATAAATTTCTCTCTGTGTATAATTAAGAAACTAAGAAAAATTTTTTAACAGGTTTATCTTTATCATAAATTGAGTTTGATATTTTTTCAGCAATAGTCATTTATGATTTAAATAATTGAGAGAGTAAGGAAAATTTTGTGACGAGCATATTATTATTTTTAAAGGAATTTTTATAATTTAATTTGGTATCATCAGAAAGGTCTTGATAAGAATTGGTGCCTTTTGGTTTTATAAATTTTTTAGTAGTCCATTTTTAAGTCAAATTTTTGGAAGAGTTTTGAATGGTTTGTTGGTTCTATAAATTTGTACGGTCACATTTGTCTATTAAATTATTTGTAATTGATCCTGTGAAAGCACTGTGATTTTTAAAATTTATTTAAAAATTATCCAAACTACTAGTGCACTGATAGAAGGATTTCTTAACATTTAATACTAAGAAATGATGTTTAAGAAATGATTTCTTAAATACAAAGAAATCTTCTTAAATGTTAAGAAATCCTTCTATCAGTGTGTGATTATAAATATCAAAAAATCATTAAGCCAAAGTTTTCTTATTCATAATCCGTAAATTTGGGCAGTCACATAGTGACTGTAGGTTACAGTTACTAGCATTATATTAAACAAATAACTCTTTGTAGTAAATAAGTAAATTTTTATGATGACAAAACGTAGTACAAGTGTTCAAATTACGTTCAAAACTCGTTCTAAAAAGTTTTAAAACTAAAACTACGACTGCACACTTGAAATAACTAAATTTCTGCGGAGATCTAGTGCTAGCGAGACATAAAGCTTTAAAGGGAAAAAATCTAATAGACTACTGACGCGGAATCGAGTTTAGACCCTCTAAGAAACTAACGCTCGCTTCGCGAACCGATTCTGTGTACCATCGATAGATATCACCCTATTCCGAGAATAAAATTCTGTTCACATTTGAATCACCTAGGTAATACAATCTATTAGCTCGCCCTAACAACAGCCAATGCCTCTGATGTTTTGCAGTGACATTTTTTTTGTATGCTAGCATATTTATTTTTATGAGCTCTAGAATATTTGAGAAAAAAAATATTTTCTTATCCAGAAATTTGAAAATAAAACAATCAAATTTTTGATCCTATTTGTAGAATACAAAATTTTCTTTTTGTATACTTGAGTACATATACATATGTTTATATTGACACACTAACTATAGAACGTAAAGTATTGACAGAAGACCAAAAAAAGATGTACGTAGTCTACTGGAGTGATCATTCGTTTTGATAAGTCGGTATACAATAGACCGAATATAGACGTACTATTTATACTTATCTTTTCAGTGTATTCTGCTAGCTATGTTAGATAAAATCTTTACTTTTTTAGGTATTGTAGAATAAACTAAATTATTTTGAATGCAACTTTATACTTTGCAAAATTGAAACCTTATTTTTTAACTCTAAGTTGAAAATTTTTTATAATTGAAATTCCATTCTGACTATTTTTTGAATTTGTACAAAAATTTTTATAGTTTTTAAAAGTATTCAAAAGTTATTTTACACCGAAAAAAAAAAATTTATTTGAAAAAAATAATAAATTAATTGATTTGTTTAGAATTTTGAACAATTTTATTTTTTAACTGAAGAATTGTAAATTCCTGTTGCAGTAACTTTCTTGTTGAAAAATTTTGTTATATTTAGTAAACAAAAAAAATATTTTGGATGAAAATTCACAACTTATCCATCTAAAACTGTAGTTTTTCAAAATAAATTTTGTGCAAATATTAAAAAATTTTTTTAGTCGAATTAAAGATAAAGAATGTCACTAAAAAAAAAAATTTTTTTTTTTTTTTAAATAAGCAATTATTGTAAGAAGCAATTATTGGTTTAATTTGTTAAAAATTTTTAACACTTTTATATAATAAAAATTTTTTTCATTAACTTTTTTGTTGAAAAAAAAAATTTATATTAAAATTAGCAAGTTGTCTATCTAAAATTGTTTTTTTCCAAATAAAAAAAAAAAAATTTCCGACAAAAAAGTTACAGTAAAAAAATTTTTACTTCTTAAGCTGAGAAATAAAATTGTTCAAAGTTTTCAAGAAATTTATGTCTTGTTACAAGATCGCCAATTTTTTTCAAAAAAAATATTTCCTCTCAGTTTCAAATTTCCAAATAATTTTTTTTTTAAATCGTCAAGCTTTTGAGCAATTTAAACTGTTAATAATTCATTTAATTCTCTCTAAATTTCCTCAAAATCTCACCGAGATAACATATAGGGGCTGATAAAGGGTTAAACAGAAATCTCCAATCAAGAATGAAAAAGTAGCGCTTAAAAACTAACTATCCTATAATGTAGGACATTGCTAAATACTTGTAATGGAGTTTGTAGAGAACCGTGAAACGCTTGTTCAGTCCTAAAGGTCGAATAGGTATGAGGGTATGGCGGCAGGTTTTAATCTAGAGAAATGCTGAATAATACAGACAGGTAGAGAGTAGCGATGGAGGTAGTGGCGGCACCGGGGGCTCCAATTGGCTTATGCAGTATTCAACGCAAGCTTTCCAGCCGCTAGTACCTCTCGTCTTCTCTAATTAAGTTTTGCTTCGTGCTGAAGAGCGTTAAACACATTGTCAACCATTTAACTTTTTCAACAACAGTCTGTTAAAACTAACCACGTACAATGATTGTTTTTTCTTTGCTTTCCAGGTTCTTTCTCAAGTTCTTCCTCAAGTGTAACCAAAATTGTCTCAAAAATGCTGGCAATCCGAGAGATATGCGACGATTTCAGGTCAGTTATTTTACTTTTTATGGCTAATCTTTTATTTTATCAACTTTGCCTCTTTACTATGTTACCTTCCATCTACGTCGATCAAATTACATCCAGCGAATCTAATCCGATAAATTTAGATCTGATTAAAATCATCGGTATAAGAAGTGATTTGAACGAAGTAATAGGATGACCTCATTTCTACTTAATTTAACAACGCTAAAGCAAATTACCCGTCCGAGTATTTTTAACTTACTGCCATGAAAAATAATGATTTAAAAAAAAAGTATTTTTCTTCTCACAATATTTCTTATGCTGAAAATAAAACTTGGCATTGCTTTACTAACAATACGCGTTATTTTACTCACATGGAAAAAAATAAATAGTAAATGCAACATGATGCAGTCTTGGTAAATAAACATGATGAAATCATGTTGCAGCCACATGATTTTTCATGCTTCAGCTGCATGAAAATCATATTGCGACAGCATGAGATAAATCATGTGGCAGCAACATGATTTTTATGTAACCTTAATAGCATAAAATTAAGCTGCAACAACTAAATATTTATGGTTCAGAAAAATTACTTATTATCGAGCAACTATAGATTTTTTCGGATTTATAATATTTACAAAATTTATAATATTTATAAAATTTACAAAATTTATGCAATAGCGAACGATGTTTTTCTTGTCATCTATGGTATAACACCGATAGCATTTGATCGTCATTATCATGCGTGGAATGTAAAAATAAATAGTCACGCTAATTATGTAAGGAACCTTAATTTTTTACCTCCAATTGTATCTTGTCTATCGATAAAAAAAAGCTTGAATTATGTTGCAACAAGACACTTAATTTGAAAATAATAATAATTTAATTACTTTTATCATAAACCAAAGCTATTGGTAATAAAAATTGTATAAAATTTGAATAAACTAAGATATCGTTCACAAATTGTATAATTCGATAATTTACTCTTATTTTTTTCATCTGCAATATTATAAATCCGAAAAAATCTAGTTACTTTAAAATAACGAATGTTTCTGAAGCATAAATATTTAGTTGTTGCAGCTTAATTTTGTGCTATTAAGGCTACATGAAAATCATGTCGCTGCCACATGATTTTTGTCATGCTACCGCAACATGATTGTCATGTAGCCGAAACATGACAAATCATGTGGCTGTAACATGATTTCATCATGTTCATTTACTGTTTATTTTTTCCGTGCAGTACTATACATATACTGCTCAAAAGTATACCTATACTGATTATCACTATACTTCAATTTACTGTAGTCAGAATATCGAATGCAAAATGAAATTATTATAACCTCACTTTACTGACATGATTTAATTTTTAATAAGTATTTAAATTAATAAAAATTAAAATTATAAGTGTAATAATTAATGTTAATTTTAAAGTTGTATCAAGAATTATAATTACTTATAATAAATTGTTTAAATTCATTTTTTTAACATAAATTATAAATACAGTGGTCATCCCATAATAAAATTGAGATGAAATGTATGTGAAACCAATCTATTCGTGTTATGATTGGTCGAAAATAAATATTCTCATTCTGATTGGTTGAAAGTGAATATACTATACATAAACGACACATAAATATACCATGATAATAAATATGAGGCGCGCGCTTGCGCGCGAAAATTAAATTCTAGTCAATATAAACAAGACGACATACGCGGGGAAAATTCGGAATTAACTGTAGTATTACTGCTTAGAGTATAGATCTCAAACTAAATTCAGTATTGCTGTGAAAACTATACTGGTATTTTAATATAATCACAATACGTATTTTCACCATAAGAAAATTCGCTCGATACTATTTTGTATACTGATAGGAATAATACTTTTTTTCAGTGCATTATCTTAATAAATATATTAAAATCATAGTGATTAATAAATTTGATGAAAAAAGTGATTCAATAAAAAAAAAAAAATCAAGCTTTTATGAAGAAACATATTTCACAGAAAAATATTGATTATAATTGCTCAGTTAAAAAATTAGAACAATTTACCTAAAGCAAAAAACAAAATTGTTTTTGTAAAGACAAAAATAAACATGCAACTTGAGAATCTTCTGTAAAATAAGTTTTTTTTCGAGTATTGGTGATAGCGGCATAATTAGTATGCCAGGAAACTTGTGTAATTTAAAAGCTAGCAATTAGGTCAGTGCATGGAATAATCACCACCCTTTTTTTCCATCTTTTTCCATCCTTAATCTTTTATGTACCGCTTTTATGTACATTTTTATAAGCATTCAAGCTAAATGATTGATTAATGATTCGATTTAAAAAATAAAATTGACTTTAAATGAATTACTAAGTACCGTTAAATGCCTGAAATAAAAAAAAGTATTAAAAATGCTATGCAAAAAAAATGAGTGTCAACTTTTTTCATGTACCACGTCCTTTTAAATATACAAGGCCATAAAAAGTACCAGCTGAATTAAAATATTTACCGCGTACTTTCGAATCTCTTCCGGAATTGCTTATTGCCAAAAGTTGCAAATTAAAATTTTATTTTCCCCTTCTCGGAAAGTTCATTGTATTAAACTTTTTTTTTTTATTTTTGTTTCTCATGAAATAAAAAAAAAACATTTTTTTTTCCTATTAATTATTTATTACGGCTCTAATAGTAAAATTGATAATTTATCTAAAAAGGACACATTATAAATAATTTTTTATTTTATTTCAATAAAAATTTATATTAAAAAGATAATTTATCTTCTTTGAATTAATATACCGTAAAAATTTTATTTTTAGGTTATCATTTCAACACAAGTGGGAGTAGACGGTCCACTACTTGCTGTTTCGGATAATATGTTTGTCCACAATAACAGTAAACATGGGCGTAGAGCTAAGCGGTTGGATCCAAGTGATCACGGAGAGTACAATAGTAAGTTTATATAAATTATCTCATACTTATTAGCGTGTTTTATCAATCGAAAAAATAAATATTTTCGTTCAAATTGAGAGTAAGAATTCTCACCGATGAGTACTACGCGAATCATGCTTCCAGAATTTAACAATCTATTCCGGAAATTTGTTTACTCCAGCTAAGTTTATATAATGACAATTCATTTCGGTATGTTTGCAGAATTGATTTACTGCTTCGCAGACTGTATGATGCATTACAAAGGTGATTATGCAATCTGATAATCAAGTTCAAGCGATAAAACAAATAAAATATGAATTTTAATTAAAATATGATCAATGATTTTCGTTTATTACTATCTAAAGTACGTTTATAGCTTGATTAGGTCCACCTTGATAATTTTATTTTTAAATTATGTTTACGAATTCTAATTCAGATAGTTTATGGAAATAAATACGTGATTAAAGAACATAAATATCAACGATTGGTACGTTTCATGTCATACAGCACTAATGCTGCAAACTATTAAAATTAATGATTAACCGATTGGTCTGTCATGTAAAACGATCGTAAAAATAATTTTAATGAGCGTAGAGTTCATTTACTAAATAGTCAATTCATTTTATTGACAATTGGAAGAAGATCAAAATATTTTCCTTATTTGCTTTATTGATTTTGTAATTTCCGTACGGAAATAAATGATTTTTATAATTTACTGTTGAATTATTACAAAAAATTGTAGGGATAATCCGATAATAAGTGTGAGTATAAATCTGTGTCCGTACTGATGTGAAGCAAAGCATGTGCTCGTCAAATGCTCGTTATTTGACGTTAATCGACCAACTAAAAAAAAATGACCGCCGGTCATTTTTCGAATTAAATTATTGCAATTTAATTTAAAAGCTAAATTGAAAAAATTTTAAAACTTGACTAAAAAATGACCGAAAAATTTTAGACGGTCATTTTCCATTTAAGTAGTTGAGCAAGCTTTTTGGCAGTTATCGTGACCACGCCACTTTTCATATAGACATCGGACACCGGACGTCCACGGGATAATTTTTTTAAACATTTTTTTTATTTATTTAAAAGGCAAAATGTCTTTTTAAAATGTCATGAATGTTGAAACTAGTGTTTTTCCCTGACATTTATGTGTAAATATTATTCTACAAGTGCGTGCGATAGAATATAAACAAAGACAATTTTAGTTAAAAAAATCACTTGCTTTTTGTAAGGCGGAGACTAGAGGACTACCTCATTCGCTTCGCTCATGAGGCGTGCACAATTTACTTGAATCAAGTAAATAATTTTGAAGAACTTCATTTTTTTGATAAGAGTAGAAAAATTCTTAAACTCGTCTGAGGTTATGGATACATTCTCAACAAAAACTTGTAATATCCGATCTCGCTTTGCTCGACTGATAACAACGTGCTCGGTTTTGTTGAGAATGCTCTCATAACCTCAGCCTCGTGACGTCACTTCAATCTTATCAAAATACCTAACTTTGCGCATACGTGTTGAAAATGACTATTTTCTGTGTAATATACCTCTTATAACACCTGAACGTTATAACGCAAACTAAATTTGAACAATTGAATTTGACAAAAATTTGAACTGATTTAAAACTAAAAATTTCAAATATCAAACTTTGTCATCTGAATCTTCATCAGACTGACAGAAAAATCAGGTGTTCTGAATTAGGAAAATCTAGTTGAACACATCACCATTATTAAATTGAAGTTCTTATATCTGAGATTATTTATTATATTGAACCCCAATAGATAGTTACTTAAACTATTTTTAGTTAAATATCCGGCTTAGTAGTCATCTTAATTAACTTTAACTCAGAAAACAGAAAAAATAATTCGGACAACCCGGACCGGGAGTCGAACCCGGATCTTTTGGTTACGCACTACGGGCTCTTCCAGTTAAGCTATTTGAGACATCGTCCGTAACGACTTTTCAGTCACTTAATAATTTGCTTAATACGATGACAGAAAAATATTCAGAAAACTATATTTTTATACTTGTGACGGTATAATTCAGCTAACAATGCACTTTTGTCTCAGTGCAACTTAAAAATTTTTAAAAATGAATGGCATCAAAAGATCTTAAGATTAGTAAATTTTTCATCACTGTCATACTCCTACAATTTAACAATCACTGTTCTAATTTTTTTTTTTTGATTTATAGTTAACTCGAAAATTAATCTCATTATTTTTGATCTGTGTTATCACCAAAGTGTATAAAAATGGATAATAATTTAAATAACAAAAAATACACACATAAATGTAGATATATAAAAAAGTAAGGTATAAGAAGTCGTAAAGCAATCCAGCCAAGTTTGTTGTAGGTTACGCATACAAACGACTGATATTGCTCATCCCCTTTAGTACAATACTCATACGCCTCTTCTTGGTGTGCGCTACTAAAACAAGATATAAATCAATGAAAATCGTTGTTAGTTCTAGGGTGACACTGGCTCTGATGGCTAAAATAGTACGAATTTTATAGTACACTGAAAAAAAAGTTTTTTTATACCCGGAATACTGAATATTTTTTAGTCGAGTTTTCTTGTACGAAGTAAAAGTCAAGTTAAATATTTTAGATTTAAGAAAACTGGTATTTTAAATCTGAGAATACCAAGTTTTTTAACAGGACTAAAACTAAATTCTATGTTACCATAGCAACCGTGACGGTGGCGCCACTATTTTGTCATTTCCCTCCAATCTACAGTGTACGCGTGTTTTTTAGTTATTAGTTTACCTCGTGCCTGAGTCTAGTTACCTAAATAGTTATTTGTGTAAATTATAGTATATTACACTACAAGGGCAGAAAGTTTGAGATTCCTGCACTGCGCGTCATATGCCCGAGGCGAAGCCGAGGGCATCATGGCATGCAGTTCAGGGCTCTCAAATTTCTGCCCATGTAGTGTATACTAGTTTTCTTACTATGCGGTCGAAAGTACGTTAAAAATTGCGTTGAAAAAAATTGATGCCTGCCCCCGACATTTGTGGCACGAGCGAAGCGAGTGCTGCTGGTCGGGGGGGGGGGGGGAGGCAGGCATCAAATACACCTGTCAATAAAGATTTTAATATATAATTTATCGTATTACTACTTTCTTTTGAGAAAAGATCGTAATTTAACTGAATAAATTTAACATTTAACGTTATAAATGTATCATAAAAGATTTTAAGAATAAAATAAAAACAGAAAAATGAAATAATAATCGTAAAATACATATCTAGAAAAAAAAATTAAGACAAAAATCTGTTTGTATATTTTTTCAAATAATTATTTGTTCACCAATAGATTTATTTATTTGAGAATATCGATCAGAATAAAGAATATTCCTCGTTTTTTTTTTTTTTTGTAATTTAAATATTTAACAAATCTTATTTCATTAAAATAAAATGACAAAGTTAATAGTCACTTAATCATTTTTTAATTTTTTTTATCAAAAAAATTAAAAAAAAAAA